AGATACAAGTGCTGAATTCCGCCAATTATGTGGCGGCTTGCGGTTAATTTGGGAGGCCCGTGTTCACCAAGGCTTTGCCCATGAAGCTGAAGAAAGCACACAACAGATAGAGCAACTTGTCAATGACGTCCGCCAAAATGGTTATCGATTGGTACTTTCAGGACATTCCCTGGGCGGAGCTGTTGCACAGTTGGTCGCCATTCGGATGCTTCGAGCATACCCAGGAATACTAAAAGATAAATTGAAATGCATCTCCATTGGGGCACCATTGGTAGGCAACCATCAGTTGGCCCAGTGCGTAGAGCGATGTGGGTGGCGGTCTAATTTTCATCACTTAGTTTACCGTTCAGACATCATTCCACGACTATTATGTGTGGATCAGATGGCCCGAGATTTGGCCGATCAATTCATTCAAAGTATTTTGGGACTACCAAGTTCGCTACAACGATGGTTTAAGTCAAATTCAAACGCGAATGAAGGTCCAATGAAGGCGATGGACGCCATGGACACCCAAATCAAAGAAGGGGAGGATTCCGTAGAGGGTGAGAAGACACCGCCGCCCACAACTGAACATCGCGTACATCGCATGTACGCATGCTTCGGCCGATACCATTTTCTCAACCACGGTGGCGTCAATTATTTCTCAACCGATGATTCGGAAGTGGCATTTCATCGTCTAAAAGAAGGTTGCGGGAGCGACAACAATCTATTGGACCATTCCATTTCCAGTTACAACAGGGCCGTTTTTTTGCAGTTGTGCTTTCAGTAAAACCCGGAGAGCATATATACATCGATTACATTTCTTCTTGGATGTTCGCCTCGTCTCCTTAGTAAGTCTGTGGAGAGACAATTGACGGAGTATATTTTCCATAAACGCATTTGCTCGAATTAAAATGCGGATCTCTTTTCCCTCCCCAAGAAAAAGTAATTGCACTATCCCCTATGGAAAAGCGCTCGTGATTCAGAGAACAGGGGTATTTCCTTTTTGTTTGTTTTTTATTGGTTTTGTGAATCACCCCCCTCCCTTTTCGTTTTAGTGGGGAACGAAGTGCCATTGACCATTCTGAACACTGAATGGGAAGATTGGAGAAAAGAAAGGTGTCGACTCCCGCCGCCGATTCACAAGAATCGCCTCGCATTTTTGAACGATGGCGCACGCGCGAAGATTCAGAGATTGCCCGATATAACCCGTTTCCTCGCCCAACAGGAAATGGAAGCACCCGTGGAGCAGAATTCGCTCGAAACCCTGAGACTCCGCCTTCGGAACCCCCAACCAAGAGCCGCACACACGCACGCGCAGGTACCTGAAAAACGAAGGCGCGTAAACAGAAAGGCGGGAGAAACTGCGGTTCGATTTGAACAAACGAAGGCCAATGAATAGGAAAAGACGGCGCGCGCAATGATAGGGAGGGTCTCACACACACACACCAGAAGAGAGACCCTTGTTGGAGGTATTTTTCCCGCAACGGCAAGATCACCCAGTGCCTTCCAGTGGCCCCACGACGCCGGCTCGGCCATTCATCGGTTTTTGCTGGGGTCGAGAACCGCCCAAAAACGTTATCAAAAACAGCCCCCACACCGCCAACAAATTGCGTCAGCGAGTGTTTTTTCTTTTCCTTTTTTAATCCGGTCTTATAGCGTAGGGCTTGAAGGATTTTTGCCTCGCGATTTTCTTCATTCCCATTATGCCCGGCGCGCCTGCGAAGAAGCATTTTCATTCCGTTTCTTCGCGACCGCCGCGGGGCGCGGCGCCGCAGGAACCGAGCCGAATCCTCAGTTGGACGCCGACGTCCTCTTTTCTCCCGTCGCGTTCCCGCCTCTTCAGCGGAACGCCAGGGTGTTCCACACCGCCGGGCCGCTCGCACATGTCGAGACGGCGGTGTGTCCATTGTCGCCCGTGAGGTTTCCTAGTCCGCTGCGTATTCCTCGCGGATGAGCGCGCCCCGCCCCCATGGAACACATGCCGCCTCTTCTGGGCGTCAAGTTCCAGCATCCTTGTGGAATGGGCACGCGTGGCGAGTCGCCATGAGGAATTGGATCAGCGCCCACTCAAACTGGCAACGATTTTGCCTTTTGCATGGGAACTAGGAGCGACACACGGAGGCCGTTGTACATAGCGCCGCCGCGGGCGGAGGCGACGCACGGCGTCAGCGCATGGTGTTGGGACGCCTCCCCGACGCCCCGCTGCACGCCGGATCCCGCAAAGTAGCAGGCGAGCAAAATAGTTGCGTGAACCCCGAGAGGCAGTAGAGTGGAGGATGCCGTGTTGGGGGCAAAGCCGCAGCCCCTCCCCTATGCGAGGCGCGTGGTGACGCTCTGCGTTTTAGTGCCCCCATCGTCCGCCACCCGCAGCACCCCGCCAGAAAACCTCACGACTTCATCATGGCGCTGCGCCCTGCGCTTCGGACAGAAGCTTGCCGCCCGCCCCTCACAGTGGCCACCCCCGCGGGCCGCAGCTCGAGTCCGTTTCCGCGCCTCCCGCGGTGGTGCCGCTGCGGATGGCCCCGACAAGATCCAGCACCAGACTTGTGACCGCTGGCTCGCCCACCACATCTGACGCACAGGCCTCCCGCCACACCCAGAAGAAAACGCCGCGAATGATGGACAGACGGCTTTGTGGAACTCGGCGTCAAGTTGGGAGCAGCGGCGATGCTGTACCTGAATGGGACGCCGATCAACATCGCCGGGGCCGGCGCAGAACGGATACCATGCCGCCGCAGAGCCGAATGCATCGCCCCACACCTTGGTACAAGAAGGCCAATGAGCAGCATCCGGCGGACAGGCAGTGCACCGTGTATTGTGTCAACCTTCACTGGCTCACGCTCTCTCCTGACTGCGCTCCAGAAACGGGTCCTCTCACGGCATCTGTCCCGATACATCGTCGGCTCCGGGCACTCCTGCTCCGCCCGCCGCGCCGAGGAGCGCGCACACGGATGCAGCTTGTCGTTGGCCACTGCGGCGTGTCCAGGAACGGAGCTTGTGGTGCGAAATCCGAGAAGGCATCCGACCTCACACAGCTCACCGACAGATGGATCACCGGCATGGTCGCACTTTCCGAACATGTTATTTGTGCCCGAAAGCTCAGGACCGAAAGTCGCTGCTCCACTACGGCAGGCGACCGGGACCCACGCGCATCGACACCGCCCTCACTCGTGGGGTAGAGGCCGCACCGGACCGCCTCCGCACCGGGGTTCTGCTCAACCACGGATGGCTGCTACGACCACTGCAGCCCGCCATCCCGAGCACATGCTGTTGGTGCATCTCGGATGCCGCACCGCAGGCACGCAATGAACCTCGCACGGAAACGCCTCCTCCTCCCGCTGACCCCACCCCGCCACGATCCGACGCCCGACAGACTGCCCGGTGTGCGGCGAGCACTTCAGTTGCTGCACTGGTGTCGTGACGCACATGGTTAACGCCCAGGGCGTTACGCGCCCCCAGGCGCCGTGGAAGGTTAACTTTCCCGGTGAGTCGGAGCCGCCAGAAATCCCACCGGAACCAACACCCGCCACTTGGGCGAAGACGAGAGCGAGGGACGGCACGCCGATCGCACCTCCGCGACGGAATGCATAGCCCAGGCCGACGCCATTCGCTGATCGGCGCCGTACGACAAACGAGCCGGGCGAGAGTGTCACGACGCCAAAAACAGAGTCACAACGCATGCGCGCCGCCAAGCTCGAAACACGGCGGGAAGAAGGCCAAGCCCGCACAGCAACTTCGCCTCCGAGGGAGACTCCCTCCTCCGCGCAGGAGGCGAATGCCGGCGAGGGACGGCACACCGTGCGCCCAAAGTAGCACACACATCCATTCATCGACGTCGCACTGTTGCCGATTCCACGACGGCAGAATGCCGGGCCGCCGATAAAGTGCACCTTGCCCGGCGACGGCGCCACGATGGGATCACCACCGCTCGGATTTTGCCGTCCAGCATACGGCTTTTGGCGCTGTGGCAATGACGGACTGACGCGCCACCGCACGGCATGCCACGGGCGTCGACCGGACGTCGTGAAAACCGGCCGATGTGAGCTGTGCGAGGAGAGAAGTCCGCACCTACTCCGCTGCCCGGCTCGGCAGGCGCCCGGACAGAAACGTGGAGTGGACACTGGGGAAGTGAGGAATCCGTGCTTCACCAGGGAGTTGGCGCGGTTCCCCCTGGATGCAGAAAGGCGCCAGGCCCGTCGCGGCTGCGGCAGGACGCCGATGCTTGTGGCAGGTAGTTCCTCTCCTCTTTTCCTTGTTGTTAGATGGTGTTGCTGAACTATCCGCCATTGTACTGATTCTCGGCGAGAACTGATTATCGAGCGAGTGCGCTAGGCCGGGCGGATGCGTCACGGGGTTGTGTTTCACGCCGCCTGTTGCAGCGCCACCTCCGGGGACCGCGGCTTTCCTTCACGTCCTCACTCAGCAGGGCGGACGTTCACTGCAACGGTGGCTGGCGTGCGGACCATGGGACTTCTTTGAGGAGACACAAGGAATAGCAAAAAAGCGTTGGCTGCGGATCGTTGAGCCACCGCGGCGGCGTGCTGTCGGCTTCTCCGCCGCCGTGACCCCTTCACCCGCACCGTCCCGGATTCAGGTGGGGCGCGGTGGGTTGGCTGACGGGCGTTCGTGTACTCGCGTGGCTGCGTGGCACCGCGTGGCTGTGTTGTTTCTTGTTGTTGCCCGTGCTGTTTCTGTCTGCTGATCGGTGTTACTACACACTCCCTCCGCCCTTTTCTCTTTTGCCTAGATTCTCACACCAACAGCGACCATGGCGAAAACGAAACTGCCGACGATGAAGCGGAGGATGAAGCGGATTGCCGTGCTGCTGATTCCCTTCATTGTGGCCACGATTGTTCTGTCCCTCAGCTTTGTCCCCGCTGACGATGATGTTGCGCCGGGACCCAACAACCTCCGCCACCCGCGAGCCTCCGCAGCGGACGACGCAGCACTTGCTTACATCCCACGTCGTGTTGTGGATACGTGGAGCCGGCGGGAGTATCTGGTTTTGCTGGGCATCCCCTCCACGGACGACGAAGCGAGGCGAACACGACGCAACCTGCAGCGGTCGAAGTGCTGGCGGTTTCCCGGAGTGGCGACGAGGGCGAACGACTTCACCGGTGCGATGCTTGTGCTGTACGTCCTTGGGCGACACCCGTCGCACGGCTACGACTACTCTGCCGCGCTGCTGGAGGAGGCGGCGCAGTGGAACGACGTGGTTGCGCTGCCAATGAACGAGGGCCGCGTGACGACTAACAAAACAGTCGGTCAATACGGCTCATGGGGCGACGAGGCAAATGTCGGTATTGGCCGCAAGACGTACATGTGGTTTGACCTTGCGCCCCGCCTGTTCCCGACCGCGAGGTGCATTACTAAGGGCGATAGCCCTGGCTCAGCCGGCCGCCTCAACGTGGTGCCAGGGTCTAGTACTCTTTGCAAGAGAGGAAGCTAAGCGCCTGCTGCCCATCCGCTGCCCGCGGAGAGGCAGGAGGCGCCGCACAAACGGGTCGGAAGGGCACCAGATGGAGCCATCTAAATGGCTGACCGCGGAGCGGTATTTCTATCCGCTGCTGAATTCCATCGGCGCTTATCAGCGCTATGCATACCGTTTGCGTGCCGTATGTGACGCGCAACGACAAAAGCTACTGCTAAGCGGAGACATTGAGCAGAACCCAGGCCCCATAGCAGTACTCCAGATGAACGTTTCTTGCCTCACGCCGTCAAAACTCGCAACATTAATGGCGCAAGGAGCAGACACAATAGCCATTCAGGAGACATGGAAGTCGTCAG